ATTATTGTATCATTTAATTCCAAAGTCAATTATAGATATAACATTATTTTAAGAGATAGTGAGTTTGATAAACTACTCATTATTTACAAGAGAAAAGTCTGGATAAGATAAATGATTGCTGTTAGTAAACTGTGTAAGAAACCCATTTTGTCGGCTGTTAAATCAAAGATTTCTCTACGTATATTATACATCTAATATTAAACTAAAAATACTATCCTATATACTGATAGACAGAAATGAAAACACATTGGATGCAATAAAATGTTGTTTTGTTTACCGTTCCTCATACCTCAGTTAAGTATTTATTGATTTTTTGAGGGCAGGACAAGGATGAAATGATAAAAACAGCTTACATATGAATACGGTTTGTCGAAAGTTTTATCGTGAGATGAACAGAATAATCCAAAACAGTACAGCAGTTTTAGTTCAATTGCATTAAGTTAGGGTCATTGAAGATTGATAACTATACTTGAATGTTCATTTAAATCTTATCCAATTTTCTATGTGATCTCACCAAGTGTGGTCATTGAATTTTCCCATTATCGTTTACCAATACGTATTATCTATATTCAGTCAATAAGCTTATTTCAAATGACTATTCTAAATAAGCGATAAATGTATATTACATTTAGATCTTTTCAAAAATTAAACTGAAAAAATTGTAGACTTCCCTTTGACTAATAAAAATCTACAGTCCAGCTAACCTTAAGACGATAACTGTGTTTCAGGCATTTTTGAAGAAGCCATTTTCAGAACTCTATATGCTACATAACTGAATGTAGAAGAATAATAAGGACATAAGACAATTGTCTGAGTCACTGAGTTTCTGTTTCAGTGATTTAATTTTCAAAGTTGTAGGCATTCAATCTTTTCATGTAATCTTCGAAAGCTCCAGAATTGGGATGTATATCCAACTGTCCAGTTGCAGACTCCATCGCCAATATAATAATTAGAAGATTTGCTTAATTAAAATTCCCGAAATAGTGCAATTTTAGGCAGGTAGAAGTATATGAGAACAACTGAACGTATTGTATTTGGAATTCGTAACAAGCGCGCAACCAAGTACAGAAAAATTATCAGTTAGCACAAATACCACAAATAGATAGTTATCTACCATCCAGGAAATCATGTAACCAAGTACAGGAAGGATATATGGCTCGTACATTCATTCAGAAATCTATTCAATTAATATACAATCATAAAACTAATTGAGAACTGAAATATGGACAGGCTTATGTTATCAAATAAATATCTTTGAAAGCATACAAATATTTGAGAATTAGTATGACCAGAAAAGCCACCAAGTCACCTTAGATTATGATGTACTGATCAAAAAAGCTAGGAATCAAAATGAATCCATGCCACGTTCCGTATTAATTATGTTTGTATGTAATCTAGAGATATTCAACTTTTTCTTGTAGTGTCACAGATTCAATATTATCGCATCAACTTCGGTAGATAAAATCGAATAATATAGTTAATGTAATTACTATCCTCAAACAGTGATATGTTCTAGAGACTAAGGCAACTGGAAGTTATTTAAATTATATCTATGTACACTATATAAATTAGATTACATGTACTGAAGTATGATCAGAACTATCACGCTGGACTATCGTAGTGTCGCGCTGCAGAGTTAGTAAACGTTGATATTCATTTGTAATATCATTGGAAGTCGGTTTGGGGCCCTGGTTCAATCGAATAAGCAATCGTGTTCTGATGTCACTAAACTTATGGTATTGGAGACTGCAAATGAGGATAAGGGCTTTGAACTGAACTTCAGTCAGCCACTTCAACCGCAAGCGTCCGCATTCGCGGTTGAAGATGTCCACACGCATGGGAAAATCAGCATCCTCGTTCACAGTCAGCTCCACATATCGATAGCGTGCGTTGAACAGTGAGAAGTTATCTCCAAACTGTAGGCTCAATGGCTGAACAGTGTCTGGGAATGAGTGGTCACGTGGGTTTAGAGGCAGAATAAAGTTACAATATCTATCTAGTTCGCTAGGACCCAGCTTACGTAGCAGCAAGAGGACTTTCCAAGAGTCATCCAGATTATCAAAATCAAATTTCAATAAGTCTTTATAACGCCGAAACCACATCGAATGTGACATTGGATTTAGAATCATAATGAAACTCAGAGATACTGTTCGCGATACCATCAACTGACGGTGCAGTAATAGCCGGATTAAAAGTAAATGGTTGAGTGTTAGGCGCAGGTTTTGCATCTGCTAACATCCGTTAAGTCTCAGCTGCTGCTCGACCAATAATTTAACTTCTGCGGGATCCATGTTTGCGCCAACCTCGTCCCCAAATTTGTTATGTTTGAAGCGATTACGAGTTCATCTAGTCTGCGAACGGAACAAACACTCTGTGACCGAAGACTAATAAGCTAGCTATTCTGATGTGTCCCAGCCCCGCTAACTAGAGAGAGAAGCCCAAGTTCGAAACGGGGAAATGTATTCCGCAAGCAGCCAGAAGCACAAGCAATAACAACAGTCACAAGTTAACCGTATATATATATATATATATATATATATATATAACATAAAATTATCACCAGGAAGCGTTACAAAATAGCATACTAAAAGATAACAAACCAATAGCGTCAATAATAGTTCAGAGCTAATGATTATTTTTTAGCTTGCAAAAAGTGGCTTTACACTCTTTTGTCCAGTTCCAACTAGTATTCTTATTCAGAAGATAACTTAGTGGAACGCGTACGTCATGCATCAACGGAACGAAAGCTGATTAGTAACTGACTAATCCCAGAAATGAGCGGAGACATTAGTAGGAGTGGACATCACTTTTATGGCTCGAATGTTTTCAGGGTCTGCTCTGCGACATGCAGCATCAAAGGTAAAACGCAAATATTTTACGGACTCCAAGGAAAGCTGGCATTTTTCTGGGCGTAGCTGGAATCCGTTATCGCTGATGCGTTGTAGTACAGCTGTCGTGCGTTCTCGTAGCTGTTCTAACTATGTGGCAACAATCAAGATGTCATCGAGATAAGTTGTGACCCCCGGAATATCCGATAGGATGGTATCCATTAGTTGCTGGGAAATAGATGGGACAGTCTTAACTCCAAACGGAAATACGACACGAAAATGGAAATGAGCTCTTTTGGCGAGGAAACAAGAAGTTCAAATTTTTAAAATAAATAAGGTATTTACCAAGTGAGTTCTGGGGATCTAGCATCCCCATCGAAGCTGTCCTTTTAAACAACATCGTTGCAGGAAGTGTAAAGCTGTGATCCATAAAGATGGATCTTGTCAAAAAAGAAGCCGAATAGTTCAAGAAGTACCAGAAAACCTGTTCCTAGATCCTGCACAAATTTGTTGAGTCTAGTAGCAACCTGTCAGAGCTCAACCCCAGGTTAGAGGAAATTTATTACCCTTTATATTAACGGGCATCCGTTTAGATTGCAAATAGACACTGCATCTGACGCAACAATTCTCTCACGAAAATCTCGGATTAAAATGGGCAGACCACGCACGGTGCCAACAATACAAAAACCTCGTACTGAATGCGGTAATTACCTACGTTCGTTGGATTAGATTGTAAAGTGTCTTGTCGCGATTCGACGTTCACCGGGGTATGTTACGTAACACCAGCTGATCTTAATTTACTTGGTTTGACCAGCCGCATGTAGCTGACATTCCGTTAAGCACCATAGTGCCATCTGGTGAAACAACCCCATGAACCTGGAGCATATTCGAAGAAACTAATGATGGAATTCCCAACCATTTTCCAGCCTGTTTTGGGTCGGTGATCTGCTATGAAAGCAACACTTCGGTTGAAACCTGGGGCTACACCTGTTTTTCATCCAAAGAAAACAGTGCCGTACTCAGCATTATCGAAAGTTGATTAGAAAATTAATCGCGTTCAACTACAGGGAGTTATTACACCTGTTTCTTATTCTGTTTGGGCAGCACCCATTGTAATTATTAGGAAGGCTAATGGCACAACCCGAATATGTGCAGATTTTTCCGCACGTCTTAACGCAGCAGTCAAACAGCATCATTACCCACTGCTAGTCCCTGCAGATTTGTTCACTATGCTAAATGGCGGAAAGCTCTTTGCCAAGCTGGATCTTACTGATGCCAATTTACAAGTGGAAGTGACTGAAGAATCGAAAGAGCTACTTAATATTAATATTCATCGTGGCTTGTTTCAGTATAATCGCCTACCGTTTGGAGTTAAGACTGTCCCATCTATTTCCCAGCAACTAATGGATACCATCCTATCGGATATTCCGGGGGTCACAACTTATCTCGATGACATCTTGATTGTTGCCACATAGTTAGAACAGCTACGAGAACGCACGACAGCTGTACTACAACGCATCAGCGATAACGGATTCCAGCTACGCCCAGAAAAATGCCAGCTTTCCTTGGAGTCCGTAAAATATTTGCGTTTTACCTTTGATGCTGCATGTCGCAGAGCAGACCCTGAAAACATTCGAGCCATAAAAGTGATGTCCACTCCTACTAATGTCTCCGCTCATTTCTGGGATTAGTCAGTTACTAATCAGCTTTCGTTCCGTTGATGCATGACGTACGCGTTCCACTAAGTTATCTTCTGAATAAGAATACTAGTTGGAACTGGACAAAAGAGTGTAAAGCCACTTTTTGCAAGCTAAAAAATAATCATTAGCTCTGAACTATTATTGACGCTATTGGTTTGTTATCTTTTAGTATGCTATTTTGTAACGCTTCCTGGTGATAATTTTATGTTATATATATATATATATATATATATATATATATACGGTTAACTTGTGACTGTTGTTATTGCTTGTGCTTCTGGCTGCTTGCGGAATACATTTCCCCGTTTCGAACTTGGGCTTCTCTCTCTAGTTAGCGGGGCTGGGACACATCAGAATAGCTAGCTTATTAGTCTTCGGTCACAGAGTGTTTGTTCCGTTCGCAGACTAGATGAACTCGTAATCGCTTCAAACATGGCGATGTTGCCCACTGAGATGAAAAGAAAAATTAATATGTATTACAATAAAATGTATATCTACAGAACATTGTACTTTGTATACTAAAATATTAAATAAGGTTTTTTAAAGTGGCCATTTCCACTGATCGCGAGGAGCCTCTTCAACTAGCTGTTCCCAAGGTTTCCACTTGAGCATATTGCGTGCTAAATCATATTCTCTTTGGGCCTATATTAACATGTCAAGAAATAAATTAACAACATATAGTGTAGAAAGGAAAAAAACTTATGGGCAAATTATCTTGTGAATCTACTAATACACGATTATTTGGATATTGGATACTTCTGTCCATCGAAATCTCTATCAATACGTGAAATGATATATATTTATACCAATTCAAGTGTCTGGGTATATGGTTTGACTACCGTAGGATTGTGCACCAGCCAATACTTATTATAAAACAGGACATGTTATCGGAGATCACGGACTCTCCATTGTCGGCGATCCAACGGATGATGGTACTAAAGTAGTATGAAATACTTAAGTTACGTTACACGGTACGAATAGGCTTAGCAGGTAAAGCAGTTTTTGAGGTGGATATTTAAGTTTTTCAAGCGAGTGAGACAGTGACTGACCTTACCCCACGATACGGTTAAAAGCTATCTTTATGCTCGAGTTAGTGATGGCAGAATCGGGGTCAAACCCCTACACTACGGTACCAATCCAACATTTTTAACGATTCAGCTTGTTGTATTTATGAAGCTGTGAGTTACTGTATGCCATCTGGCAATCAGAGGCGTATAAATAGATTGAAAAAAATCTATTGGTGTTGTGACTCTTGGAGACATGTTGGTATCAAACACAGATGATGTGTATGCCGCGTGGAAAACGCGATTTTATGGAACTTAAAATGGTAGACGTCTTCAAGTCTCAAGTCAGAGCACATCACTGTACTTATGGGTCGTGTAGATAATTCCCTGGATGTATAGGAAAGCTATTCAACTTAGAGGTCATACCCTAAGTACTAAGGTAAGAGGAGGGGGAGTTGGTACAGATCCTGGTGATCTGAGGTGCAAGGGTCGGTGTAATAAAGTAGAATCCTTGATACATATTCTCTAAAGCTGTGAAAATGCCCAGCGATTGCGTATCGCTAGGCACAATTGAGTGATTAAAAAGTTGGAAGATTCGTTGAGACGTTCAGCGTTTTCGGTGACCCGAGAACCTCGCATACCCAATGGAAAAACCTATGTGTAAATGAGGTGAAATATGTCATGGATGCCATTGCATGTAGTGATGATCGGTTGAGAACATCGTGAAATGTTAAAACACAAGAAAGTTGAATGAAAAGTTTCGTAAGGTCTTCTGAGTACGAGCGTGGTGTGTCACCTGCCCATTGTAATAACGACGAGTGGACTACTAGATAGGCGTTTTGAGGGTGGATTGCTAAGAATGGGAGTGAGAAAGCAGGCTGAGTCTTGGTTATGAGAACAGACCATTATTGGTTCATTGATATGTTACGATGCCTATGGGGCGTTTTGAGTTATGGGTGTCTGGTATTTGATTGAGTAGCTACGGACTTTGTTAGAGTACCCGTCCCATGTGACATGAATATACGTGCGGAGTAGAGGTGGGACCGTTGTGCGTCAGATAAGGTGCTCAGCATAGCAATATGTATGGTTGCGCTCAACCACATCCGACTTCTACCCATCTGTATCAGCTCTTCTAGACTAGTGTGGTGGATAGGCTTAGCCTGGGTTGGCTTTATCCTGTCGACCAGGGCACGTGAAGTCAACCTTACGGTAACACGTGCACTTAAGAGGTACCTACCGTAACTGGATCGACCCACTGGCTTAGTGTGGGTCTTAGAGAGGTTCGGTCGGTTTGGTAAAGACGGCAAGAACTAAAGGCTGGCGGACATTGCTGCTAATGAACGCGTGGCTTCGATAATCCAAATGGAACTATGGGAATGGCCGGTTAGCGCTCTCCCTGCTGCCGTTGACGGTTGGAATAAGAGGGTAGTGGATCAGTTGTAGGGATCTTGTTGATTTGTAAGGTGCCTGTCTGGAAGTGCAGGTCGAAATAGACAGTGGTTGGGCGAATTTAATACATATCACAAACACTTCAGCTGATGAAGATCCACTACCGTATTAACTAATTGGCTACCTTTACATAGCCCCATATGCCTAGGTATATATATATATATATATATATATATATATATATATATATATATACTATGAACTTCTTTAGTATACATTTTAATGAAAGACCCTACCACAGAAAATCTCGACCAACAGAGTCGAACGCTGCTCTAAAGCCAAGGAATACCATTATAGTCCGGTATTGGTAGGTTTGTCTGTTTTAGAGCCTGGCGAAGGGTAAATATTTGATCTACATATTTACAACCAGGTTTGAAATCAGTAAGGTTTTCCTGGGTTTGCTGTTCACGAATCCCAGTTAAATATCGGAAGGTTATTGAGGCCAATATTTCAAACACTATTTCAATCAAACTGATTCCTCTGTGCCTGACACGAGAATTATTTTCCTTTTTTGAGAACTGAGACGGTTAGAGATGGACTCCAATCAGAGGGGTTTACGTTCGATTCCAGCTAGTATCTCAGTCAACGTAACAGCCAAAAACGAACCATCATCCTCAAAGATCTAAGGATTTAATACATTATGGGATGGTTGTCTACCTCATTTTAGATTAGTTACAGCCTTTTCAACACAACTAAGAGTTGGGAACTTGTGTTAGTTTCTTAATACGGTTGCTTGGAGATAGTGGGTAACTGAAGGGTTACTGGAAGCCACTTGAATTATTCGTTAGTATCACTACGCCAATAAGCGTATACGGTCGAGACACGAAAAGTTACAACTACTAATTGTGAAAGTAATTAAGCATTAAACCATACCTACCTGTACGATAACTTCTTCAATTTGACCACAATCAATGGTAGATTCAAGAGTGGGAATATCCGAAATCTTTTATTAAGAACAGAAAGCATTAACACCAACTAAATAAGTCACTTTTTGTACAGCATTCAGTCTGGACTGTACTATTTCGTTTGTGTGCCTACGATAACTGGATCCTTCAGGCATCAGAGCAAGCACTTTGAGTATACGCTTGTAAAGTGATGTTAGAATCTAAAATTAGATTTATTAAATTATCAAGACATTTACAATATGAGGATTTTTTGAAACTGGCAATCCAGTTAATAGAGTACTCTGAAATTAGAAATCTGAAATTTTAATCAAAAATGGTCTTACTCTTTTTATCGACTGCATTGTCTTCTGTACCTTTATAATTAAAAATTGTGATTGAAATGAAAATATACATACAAAAAAAAACAAGACTAAATAAACTATCCTACCAACATAAAGACTTTAGAAAACCTTAAGGAGGAAAGATGTATTCGTAAAATCTCAGCGAATGAATTTGAGATTTTAAAAATACATTCTTTCGCCTTAATGTCTCATATCAACTCGGAGCCCAAATACGGTGAAACTATACCATCAAATTTGGACGAAAGTTCTTATATACTTTAGAAAACCATCATTAAAATGTTTCATGTATAGTATTTGAATATAAAGTGAGCACGCTTATAACGCTATCTCAGATTAAATTAAAGACAAGGTTACTTGTTGATCAAAATGAATTGGTAGAAAGGTTGGTGAGCCAATAACATAACATCCTGAAAAACACCATACGATACAAAGTTTAAGTGTACCATGACCTTTTAGGTAAGATCGTGAGTATGTATTATTTATTTATTTGAACATATAAATATTAGTAAATAATATATTTGTAATATCCCAGTGAGTAGAAAATTAGATTTTCTGACGTTTCGTGGCTTAGTGTAAGTCACTTCTTCTCTGAAGAAGTGACTTACACTAAGCCACGAAACGTCAGAAAATCTAATTTTCTACTCACTGGGATATTACAAATATATTATTTATTTATAACAATCAACCCAATGCTCAATTTATTCGAAATTATCAAATCAAACCTTGGTAATGATACCTACAAACTTATTAATATAAATATTAGCATTAAAAGGCACCGAATACATATGCGCTACACATGTCACTTGTAGTGAGTAGAACTCCCCTGACAGTGGTTGCATACCCGTGGCCATGTAAGAGTATTTCGAGAGGAAGAGTGGACTCTCCTCACCCTTGGTTGTACCAGGGCATTTGGGTGCATCGCATTGTTCTAAACGTGTTAAATCAAAATATTTATGAAGATAAGTAGGATACATGTTTTGCAATTGTGAATATCTTCCAATCATCACAAAATCCACCACAGACATTAGGAAACCAAGCTGTGAATCAAATAACTTTTTCACATCGACTTTTACGTTTTGGGGAGAATTCAGAGGGTTTGCTTGACATAAGAACTTTGAGAAATATTTTGGAATCCTGAGGCTTGTCATAACAGTGGGCCTAGAAATTAAACCTCTTTGCTCTGTTACTGCAGATCGAGGTGATCAAAGTTTGATATATGAGATGTTAAGAATGATTTTGGACCAGATATATCCCTTTTTTCAATTACAAGAACAACTCATAATACGTAGCAGATGAGTTCAAAAGTCAAGAACGAACAAAATTTCTATGACATAGGTGTTCTAACCGAGTAATTAATTTTCAACGCTTATGAATATGAGGAGTGGTGCCCCCGCCCCCAAATGCCCTGGTACGGCCGAGAGTGGGGAGAGTCCGCTCTCCCTCTCGAAATGCTCTCACATGGCCACGCGTATATAGCCTCTACCAGGGAAGTCCTACTCACTGCCTTCTCGCACCACGAGTGTTGTTTACGAAAATGAGAGGACGAAAAGCGAACGTCCGGCGCTATAACCGGATCCCAATTCAATGGTGCACATGGGCTCCAGTATCCTGAAGGAACAAATGGCGTATGAACCAATCGTTGGTCACCACCTACCATGGGACTGCATCTCCTTACGATGCTCCACTGCCTTGTCGGTCAGACGTTCAGGTCGAAGGCTCAGGGTGTGGTCCCCTAAGAAAACCACCTGCTTCGGTTTGGGCACCCGGGCAGTATCACATCCCTCACACAAATCAACTGAGATTTGTGTGGCGCATATGTATTTGGTACCTCTTTGTACCAATACCTGTGTTAAAATAAAATAAAATAATGTGGTGCCCCCAAACCCTAACCCTCTCAAACAAATCGTTATTGCTTACATAGTAGATAATAAGCTCTACTATGTCGTAAGTAAAATAAGTGCCTGTTGTTAATTATTGTTTTTCCCTTGATATAAGCAGACCGTGTACAGTATTTGAAGATATGTGATCCGATAAAGGATTCAAGATGAATGTGACTGAGTCACATGGGCAGTGATTTGTGACATCGAAAATATTGGTCTTAAGATAGGATAACATACTGCATATACTCTGAATTTACTACTTTTCTAGGAGAGTCCTTAATGCAATATTTAGTTTTACACAGTATGATAGAAATTTACTTTAAAATAGTTCAAAAAGGCCTGTGGTTTTTTGCTTACTGGGTAAATCTTATAGCTTTGATAATTTTAAACGCGTAAAAGCTGATTTTATTTTAATTGACTTACATTTTTATTTAAAATATTATAAAAGTATCAGTTTTGTATAAGCATCTGTTTTACCTCAGTTCACAAAACTGTATCCCTTTTGGGAGCGCAGAGAAAACTTATCGGGTGATTTGCACTTTTTTAATCAAATGAACCACTTGGGAAATTTTTCTCGTAATGTTTTAGTATGATAGAAACTTTTCGATCTTTAGTGTTTACTATTTCAGTAGTTCTGAAAAACACTTTTGGGTTTGGAATACGTTTTACTGAAACCACTAATTAAGTTAAATGACCCGAACAAAACATCACTCTGATACGTTTCCTCCCGATCGAGAATCGAACGCAATGCTATAGCTGTATAAAACGTGGTACCATGACATGAGTACCGGACTCACTCCGGCTGCGTGTAACAAATGTTGCAAGCAACAAACACACTGGCTGTACAATGCATGCCGTTCCACAAGGCCTCTATCGATATTTAGGATAATTCAGGTGCTGAACATACCTTGAAAACTTCCGACAGGCCAATAGTAAGTTGTGTATACAATGGAGCAACTGAAAGCTCTTAATGATGCATTGAGCATAATCGTCAACCCAACAACTGATCTGCATAATGGAGAACCTCCATAACACAATAGATGTTTAAGAAATTGATTAACAAAAACTTTCTATTAAAATTCAAAACCCTTGGAGAAAGCACGGAATACAAAGAACCCTAAAAAAGGCGTGATTCGCCAGACATGGTTCAGAATCGATCACAATGGCGTCGGTGTATATGCTCTTTGTTTCCCCTTAAACCGTAAGATTAGAACTGCTTTATATCTTTCTTTCTACGAACTAATTCTTTCTTTCCGTATTATATCTTACTTTTATGCATTACTACTATTGAAATGACTACCATAAATTAATTTATTGTGCTAATGAGGTAACGCAACTTGGACCGAAGCATATATAGTCAGTCAGCCTGGTCCTACGTTGCAGTTGACTGGCTGATTCACCAGATAATGCATTTGGACCCTATATCAACACAGCAGTCATTCACTTACAACGTAGGACCAGGCGCATATATGCATCGGTCCAAATTGCCATACCGCATTAGCACAGCAAGACGAACACCGAATTCATAGAAGCAGTTGACTCAATGGTGTAATATATAAAGGAAAGATTTTATGTAAGGATATGGTACAGAAAGAAAGTATTAGGTGATAGAAAGATATGAAGCAATTTTAATCTCACAGCTTAAGGGAAAATAAAGAGTGTAAACACCTACGCCATTGTGATTGATTTTGACCGACCGGCGCTTTAACCGGATCCCAAATGAATGGTGCACATGGGCTCCAGTATCCTGAAGGAACAAATGGCGTATGAACCAATCATCGGTCACCACCTACCATGGGACTGCATCTCCTTACGATGCTCCACTGCCTTGTGGATTCAACATTCAGGTCGAAGGCTCAGGGTGTGGCCCCCTAAGAAAACCACCTGCTTCGGTTTAGGCACCCGGGCAGTATCACAGCCCTCACACATGTCAAATGAGATATGTGTGGCGCATATGTATTTGGTGCCTTCTTGTACCGATATTTATGTGTTAAAATAAAATAAATAAATGTTGCTACCTTGACGTGGTAGTCGGGTTCGCCTATTGTGATGAACCAATCGAGCTATACTGGCTGGAACAATCGTTCCTCAAGGTCCTACCATGCCAGACAGGTCTGTTGAAGAACGGTAATACTAAAAGCAACAAATCCAAGGTCCGAAGGCCAAGTAGTACTGCTGACTGTCCAGAGATGTAACAGCAATAAGGTGTTTCCTCCAGAAAATTAGCATAACAGCGATGCTGCCTTCCCACAAGGAGGGGTGGAGTTAGAAAACGTCGACCTTAAAAATGCACACCTTGCCTTATCCCACGGATATCCGCCTCCGGCGATAAGGTCTCAACAGGTACGGCGCTAACACGAAAATTTCTGATAAAGAGGTCGTGTGTGACCGGCCTCAAGAAGTTATCCCTTGGGCACTGCGGTCACGCTCTCAAGTCACTAAGACCACCTTTAATTCAATTTCCATTCCAGGTACCTTCAGAAGAACCCTTCCACGGTGTTGTCGACCGGGAAGTGATAACCGCCCTCATACCTCTAACAGCACTCAAGACCACTATATTCATATCAGCACAGCAAAGACTACTATTTATGAACAACCTCCGAGAGATATCTAAGTGGTCTTCGGATGCTTCAACCACTTGCGACTTAAAAGCTGTAGTAAATTTATCAGTCTTACTCTTTGAAGATGACAAATATTTGGAGACCCAAACACAGCATATCAGATAGAATTATAGTGCAGAATAATCTAAATTCAATGGTTAAATGAACGGATAGGTCATTAGAAGTCAACACTAACAAGAGTATGGTGAGGCAATTAAATGACTGCCACGACTCATATTACTACACAATACGTGGAGTTGTGTTACCCAAAGTACTGGACTATAAAGATTTAGGGTTTATAATAAATAACCACAAAACTAACGGATCGATAGTTACTAACTACATCGGACTAGTTATCGCGACTTTCCAGTCTCTAGACAGTCTGGACTGCCACAGACATATCAAACGGTATCGCTAAAGATTCAGCAAACACATTTGACAGAGCTTTCATAATCATAGGATGAATACCATCTGGCCCATTGGACTCATCACGTTTGAGATGCTGTAGTAGCCTTAGACAGCACCTTTCTCAATGACTACAGGGTCCATCTACGAGCCGCCACAATCACAATGAACCTTGGGTCGTTCCTGAATACTGATAGAAAACACTTTACTGAATTATTCCGATAAAGCTTCAGCTTTTTCGATATCATCTCATGTCAATATTAACGAATTTTCTTGTACTAAAAGTAATGGTATACGATCACTTCTCCGAGTTTGCCTTTTTATATACGAGAATAACCGTGCCGGACCGTATTTACAATCCCCAATTAGTTTTCTTTATACGACCGTCTAGTCTTACTTATTAACGCTTTACAAGCATTCCTAATCATACAATAACTGGATCTGTACTGTTCTAAGCCAGTAGAGATGAACATATCCCAGTGCTTTCCTCTACGTCCAAGAAGTTTCTGAACCTGTTTAGTTATTCATGGTGGACTGTTGTTCGATCTACGTAGTACCAGGTATGGTATGAACGAGGACGCAACTGAACTAAACTTGCCTTTAAATATAGACCATGCTTCTTCAACTGATGAGCTACCGCAACACGTAATATCAGCACCTTCCGTTGATATGTTCAGGAAGAGATTGAACCACCACAGTACTACAAATTACAAGGGTTAATATAGGTCTATTGACCATTTTTCCTTACTACTGAAGACATACTTGGTTCGGGTTATAAATTAGTGTGAGTATTTGAGATCAAGAGTTCAAGTAAGGGATTATAATCGCAAAGTAAAGTTGGCTTTGGCACCACGAAGTCTTGTCAGTTATAACGACAAAATATACATCCGTATAGATGAATAAATTCTGCGACAAATTCAAGAGCTGCTTTCTGTTATCTGCTTGGTTCGTTCTTCAATTATAGTATGGGAGAGACAAAGCAGGGAAATATCGGGACTCATTAACTTAGGCCTTTTAGAGAAGTCAGTCATAGACCAATGGTCTTCCTAAAATAGTTCATAGACTATGTACGAACACAACACAAGCTGCATTAAATCACTGAAGTGAAAGTAGTGATCTAATTCCGTAAAAAAATTTCTTAAATTGAATATCACTATCACTTTATATTTAGCAAGGACTGCTAACTGATTGCATTAATGAAAAGTTCAGAAATCCTTACCTACGTTATGAATTGTACACCTACCAACACAGAATGAAAACGTGTGGCGGACGTGTTGAATAATTAACTCGACTATTGTACAATTTAATCAGTCTTCAGTCTTCAGCAATAAGGATAGTAGGCTAGTAAACCTGTGTTAATCCTAACAGGTTACCTTCCAGTGAAGGTCCAGTTTCTCCTTGAAAATATTCACTGATAGTTCTGATCTTACTTGTTCGGGCAAAGCGTTCCAATCATTGACTACTCGATGAGAAAAACGGAATCCCACCTTGAGTTTATTAGATTGTGGTTTATGAACCTTCTTGCTATGACCTCGGAGATTATTAGTTCTGGAGGGAGCAAAAAGATAAGACAAATTAACACCCAAATCATTATTAAAGATACGAAATGCCAGTATAAGGTCATCTCGAGTCCTACGATACGACAAGGGGAAAAGGTTTAGGCGTTTTAAACCCTCATCGTAAGGGAGTTTAAAAAGAACCTTCACTAATTTCGTTCCCACACGCTCGACACGCTCAAGTGAGGTAGCATCCTTTATCAGACATGAGCTAGCTGCTTGAATACAGTACTCTAAATGTGGTCTTACATAGGTGGGATATAAAATTCGAAACATTTCCTCGTCAAAGGATTTGAACGCTCGTGGAAGTGACCATAACGCACGAAAACCTTTGACAGTAGCTGTATTGCAGTGCGTAATTGTTTTTAAGTCATGACTTATTATTACTCCTAAGTCTTTATGTTCCTGAACGCATAAAAGAGGTTTACCATTGTAGTGACCTACTTTTGTCAACAGAACGCGATTGGTTCGATGAAAACAATTATTATTATAACCAATTGTACCAGTGACTGTTTTACTGTGCTCGTTTGTTTAACTGTGCTAATGACAGCCATTATACTTACTCTCCCGTTGACTTCGAACTTGTACGAATCTGGTTACGCTCAGTAACCACGCTTGTACTCCTTTGGCACGATCTCGGTATTCTTTCGATACCACGAGATCGCCAACAAATATATACGACTACTACAATCATTTGCCTTCTGATATTTTGGCCTATCGGAATTTTATTGGTCTATTGGCAAGTAGTCTGGTAGCGGTGTTCATAGTTCAGCTCAACTCGACACCACGCTACATTTGGTGATCCAAATTTTGGAACACGCCTCAACCTCGGTCAAATCTTTCAAAGAAGGCAATTCGGTGAGTCTATTGTTTTATCTATCCACGTCTGTCATATATTTTCATATTAATTTTTAATATATATATTTGACATGACGGATAACGATAAGAATAGTATTAATATAATAGACTCCGATGTACGCGTACCGAATCCTCGGAACTTTTTATTCGCGTGACGATAAATTCCACGCCTTATTCGAGAAATTCCCCAGATTAACTAAACCATTCGAGGAGATTTCATCGGTGACCAATCGTGTGGTACACCACATAGTCACCCGCGGACCACCAGTCACGGCAAGACCACGCCGACTGGCACCGGACAAATTAGCTTTCGCTAAACGTGAGTTTGACAATTTACTATCTTCTGGTATTATTCGTCCTTCTCACAGTCCTTGGGCCTCTCCTTTACATATGGTGCGCAAAAAGGATGGGGTTAGTTGGAGACCATGCGGCGACTACCGAGCATTAAACGTAGTTACGCGCTTTGATAGCTACCCCATCCCCCACATACACGACATCACGGCATCGCTCAAGGGCACGACTATCTTTTCTAAAATCGATCTGGTACGAGCATATCACCAGATCCCAGTCGCTCTTGAAGACATCGAGAAAACTGCTATCACGACTCCTTTCGGTCTGTTTGAGTTCCTACGAATGCCATTTGGATTACGGAATGCTGCTCAAACTTTCCAAAGGTTTATCGATAGCATAGTACGAGACTTGGATTTTGTTCACGTCTATATTGATGACCTGCTGATCGCATCATCAAACGTAGATGAACATTATCAACACCTTACGCTATTATTCCAACGTCTTTCGGATAATGGAATAGTAGTCAACCCAGAAAAATGTGAATTGGGTAAATCAGAAATAATATTTCTGGGTCACATCATCAAACAAGAGGGTATTCTACCTTGCGAGGACAAAGTTCGAGCAATCAAGGAGTACAACGTGCCGTCCTCAATCAAGGAACTGAAGGCTTTTCTCGGTTTGGTTAACTTCTACCGACGTTTTATCCCTCACGCGGCAGAACGGTTACGACCATTAACCGATTTACTACGCGGTAATCCACGCAAATTAGAATTGAACGATACCGCACGTACTGCATTCTCAGAGATCAAAACGGCTCTCGCTGAAGTTACACTTCTCGCTCATCCTGACCCATCAGCCACGCTTAGTATAGCGGTTGATGCATCAGATTTCGCTATAGGAGCCGTTATGCAACAGAATATCTCCGGTAGTTGGCAACCGCTTGAATTTTTCTCACGACGCCTTACTCCCACGGAGACGAGATATAGCGCTTTTGGTCGCGAGCTGCTTGCAGCCTACTGCGCCATCAAACATTTCCGGCACGCAGTAGAAGGACGTCAATTCATCTTATTCACCGACCATAAGCCCTTAACGTATGCCCTGCATACCAAGTCTGACCGCTACTCACCACGAGAGTGCAGACATTTGGACTATATCTCACAGTTCACGACAGACCTTCGTCACATTAAAGGCGAGTCGAACTATGTTGCCGATGCTCTTTCACGTATCCAGACGAATGCAGTTACTTTACCGGTGCTCGATCTTCCTGCTATGGCCGCCGCGCAAGCAAACGATCCTGTCTGTACAGAAGCACCACAATCTTCGTCCCTTCAGTGTCAGGAAGTACCCCTAGCTACTAGCTCAGGTACTATCCTATGTGATATTTCTACCGGTCTACCTCGACCCATCGTACCCTCTACCTATCGCCGTCTCGTCTTCGATGCCCTTCATGGATTGTCTCATCCAGGTATCGCAGCCACATTACGTCTCATCGCTGCACGATACGTCTGGCCGTCCATGAATAAAGATGTTCGTATGTGGGTAAAGCAATGCTTACAGTGTCAACGATCAAAAGTGCACAGGCACGTAGCTGCCCCCATTGGCACGTTCGCTACGCCTGATGCTCGCTTTGATCACGTTCATATAGACATTGTAGGACCATTGCCACCATCGCATGGGTATGATCACATACTCACGTGCATTGACCGTTTTACAAGATGGCCCGAAGCTATTCCCATCACGTCTATCACGGCGGAGACAGTTGCTCACCGCTTCGTAGAACGATGGATAGCATTGTACGGTTGTCCCTCGACTGTCACGACTGACCGAGGACAACAATTTGAGTCCGCATTATTCTCCTCACTGACCCGGCTGCTTGGTACGGAACGCATACGCACTACCGCCTACCATCCAGCATCGAATGGTTTAGTCAAAAGGTTTCACCGCCAACTTAAAAGTGCTCTCCGAGCACACGAAAACGACAATTGGTACGAAACCTTACCGCTCGTTCTCTTAGGCATCAGAACGAGTTTGAAGGCAGATATCCAATGTTCCGCCGCTGAACTTGTATACGGCACGACATTGCGTCTGCCTGGGGAATTCTTCACACCACGGAGCAGTAATGATTTCGGTAAATCAGACTACGTCCATCGACTGTCTGCATTTATGCGAACGCTGTCTCCGGTGTCAACTCGAATACAACATCGACAGGTCGCTCTCCCTCGAGAGTTATCTACCTGTTCACATGTTTTCATACGAGTAGATTCGGTACGCAAACCTCTACAACAGCCTTACGAAGGCCCTTTTCACGTGATCTCTCGTCACGAAAAGACCTTCAAGGTTGATCGACACGGCCGCGTCGAGATCGTCAGCATTGATCGTCTCAAACCAGCACACGTCGATGACAGTGCCCTACCCAATAACTTGAGACTCAATGCTAGACCTACCAAACCTTCTAGCGGGATCTCTACGTCTACCTCGGATCCCACGCTAGATACATCAGAGACCTCGTTCTCACGTCCCGGTCAACAGCACGCGTCATCTGCACCATCTACGGACGAGACTTCCGTCTCACGTCCAGATCGGCAGACCACGCCGCCCTTGACCTCGGATGAGATCACAGGCTCACGAAGTACGAACGAGACTACCGTCTCACGTTCCGGTCGCCGAGTACGATTACCCGTACGCTTTCGCGACTAAACGCACAGTCAATAACGGATACGGTGTAGGATTATTCCTATACTACACGCATGCTACACTTTTCTTTTTTTTGATTTTTTTTTCTGTATCCGGAGCCCACGCCTCCGACCATCGTCCATTTGATAACGTCGACTTCAGTCAACTTTGGCGAAAGCTGGTTTGGCCACCCACGCTCTAGTCAACGCACTCAGTCGATAATCTGGTCTCGAATTCGCCTGGCATATGCTTGGTAGTTATGGTCGCGTCCGGTTTCTTGGCTCAACGTGGTTTCGTCCTACGTCTGCAGCGTTTTCTGGTTCACATCCCTACGAACGCAATCATCAGATTCTGGATACAAACCACTCTGGTGTGGTATGCTAATTCGACCAACAAATACAGCACACTTCTGGTACCGTTCTGCGCAAAAGACCTTCGTTGGCAACTCGAGGATCAACGATCACTTCCTGTTCCGCCAATTTCCTCCGTCCTACAACCGCAATTCTGCCGATCAGTCCCACGAATCAAACCGCTAACTATCGAAAGTGTAAACCCTTTCTAGCGGGGGGCTCCTGTAGTGACCTACTTTTGTCAACAGAACGCGATTGGTTCGATGAAAACAATTATTATTATAACCAATTGTACCAGTGACTGTTTTACTGTGCTCGTTTGTTTAACTGTGCTAATGACAGCCATTATACTTACTCTCCCGTTGACTTCGAACTTGTACGAATCTGGTTACGCTCAGTAACCACGCTTGTACTCCTTTGGCACGATCTCGGTATTCTTTCGATACCACGAGATCGCCAACAAATATATACGACTACTACAATCATTTGCCTTCTGATATTTTGGCCTATCGGAATTTTATTGGTCTATTGGCAAGTAGTCTGGTAGCGGTGTTCATAGTTCAGCTCAACTCGACACCACGCTACACCATCAATAGTATAATGATAACTATTGCC